ATCGCAAAAGGTGGAAAGATGATTGCGGAGGGACCGGCCGGCTCATAAGGAGCGGAAAACGCATGTTAATTCGGATCTGGTAACGCAGATTTTGGTATTCTAAATAAGCTCGTATGCTAATGGTAAAAGGAGAACATTAAAATTGTACTAAGGCCCATATTCAGAGGATGCAAGGAATAGGGTTTGGATAACTTCGTATCTCTCTCTCGCTCTCTCCCTCTCTTTCTCTCCCTCTCTCCTACGGCTTTCCCCGTACAGAAGCGTACATTTCTCAAGACCATGTCGCGAAAAGCCTTTATTACCCGACAAATACACAATCAGTGGTCAATACAAGGTCAATTTGTCGATCTGGTGTGGAGGCTATCGTCTCGAAAAGGGCGATGAAGACGATGAGTAGGTGATGCGGGTAGAAGACGTTGTGCATCTGCCGGCGAGTGATGTGGGACCTAAGGAAGAGCTTAAAACTTGGCTTGCTTGGCTTTGATTTTGATTAGGCCGTTTTTCCAAGATCGTAGTAGTCGTTTAGCAGTTTTTGAGGGCTGCTATCTGCTTAGAATTTTGAATTCTACCGAATAAGCTATGCCACCCCGACACCACCTCGATGCCTCGCTAGCTACCCCAAAAAAATTCGGTTTCTGAACCCAGTCTATATGACCAGATGCCATACCTTCTACGCGTCGCCCTCCTCGCTGTCGCTTGCTCGCGGCGGCCGGTACGGCTTGCTGGCGGCACGGTGATGCTTGCGGTACAACAGCCAGACGATGACGCCGATCACAATCACCAACAGCAGCACGCCACCTGAAAATCGAAATTCCGATCTGCTTGTTGACGTTAAAATGCGGGACACGCGGTGTAAATTGCTGACCAATAATTAGCAAAAGCTGCCAGACTTTTGAGCCAGCGTCCGTTTCCGTGGAGGGTAGTTCGGCTTGTGACGATTGGGAGGAAGATTGTGACGAGACGGCGCACAGTTCCTGAAAGCAACAAATTAGAATCAAAATGCGGAGATAAAAAATCAGAAATAGAGCGACGTTTTCGACAAGTGCACGACGAGGGCCGTACTTGTCGAAGGCGCCGCACTCCGTCCACCCCGAATTCGGTACCTTTTCCGGATCAACATCATCGCATGGCCGTGGCGTTGCACGAAGGTTGGTGTCGTTGGGGTAGCGGGCGACCAGCGGATTGGTGTCGCAATTCAGGAAATAGTCGGCCTTCACGTAGGCGGCGTGCTTTTCCTAGAAAATGCATGCACTTTATTTGACGCCTTCGATACCTTAAGATCCTTGGCTTCGACGCATCTTGGGTATTTGTAGTCGCTAGGGCCGGCGGTGGGCGCGTCCTCGCGGCGGGCACGGGGTTGGGGCTGGAAGTGAAATCTCGATTTTTGCAACAGAGGTTGCGCCTGTAAAACCCTAGAATCGCACCTCAACGTGGCAGGCATTATGGAAATGGCTGCCACTTAAGGACAGAATATCGTACCTCATTGGTAGACACGTTGACAGCTGGGCCAGACACGCTGCTGGCAGCTGCGGTAGTTGCGGCAGTTGTGTTAGTTCCAGTTGTGGCGTTCGATTCCTCAGAATACTTCAAGCTTCCGGCGGCCGACATCAGCACGGCATAGGGGCCAGACTACAAAATTCAAATCGGAAGTGCGCATCGAAAAATTGGTGTCTGGCTCTTCGAAAAACACCCTCAGAACTTTGTAAAACCCGACCATTTGCCGATCGAGCACGTACACCTTGATGTCCGTCTCGTTCTGGGCATCGACAACGTCGAGCAGTTGGCATTCCGCGTAGTCGGCCGCCGTTCCCTTCTCCTTGTAGACACAGGCGTTTACGCACTTCACCGGCACGGCATTGCTGATCTTCTTCAGCTCGGCTGGGACGCTGCCCTCGCTGAAATAGCACAAAACTGCAAGCCCGTCTGTCATGTTTTACCCGCAAATCGGAGGCGGGACACAGTCGGCAGCCGAAGAGCCGGCCGGACAATACTAAAAATTTATTAATGACCAGCGCCCAAAACCCGCTTCGCGGGCCTTGGGCGCTGGAATCAGGCCTTTGCATGAGAAATTTGACTTTCCAATTGCTCGGGTCCTTCGGACCCCTCCCCTCCCCCGACCAAACTCGCGAGTGCAACTGGCATGAATGAGGAAATCTGTATTTTTTCGCATTATGCAAATTAGCCCTCAGGGACCCCCAAAAATGAATAAAACTGGCTTTAACTTTGTAAACTTGTATTTTATCGAGATTCTGAAAACGCCATCGGAAAGAGGAGGGTCGATTCTCCCGGATGACGGAGAATTAGGGCATTTTGGACACGGGAAGGGCCTCAAATCTGACCTCGAAAGTGACCTCCGCACACACACACAGACAAAGATACGCGACCAAATTATATAAGGTAGGACCAGGGTAGAAAAGCCGCTTCGCAACTTTTCAACCCTGGCCCCGTCTTACCCCCACGCTTCATCATTTTGCATAAACTCCTGAATTCCTGTGCAACAAATGAAAAGCGGGTCCTCACCCCCCATTATATGGGCGCTCCGCGCTTCCGGTGCATGCAAATTGTTTCCTAACAAAAAGGCCGAGCGAAATTTTCACAAAAACCTATTTTTAATGTCGAAAACAGCTGATTTTAAGAAATCTGATATGCGTGCACGGTGTCATGACCATTACGCACCTAATGACGTATCATACATACCCTTAACTTCTTCCTTTATTGAGATACCACTGGAACATACGGACGGAAGGTGCATGCAAGTGCACACACACACATAGACACTATTTTTTATATATAGTAGGATAAAATATGGTAAAACTACCGTAATATTGGTAGGGTTGCTGATGTCATGCCAATCCTTTGGAAACGGAGAAGGATCTGCGGGAACGAGGCCGGCGGCTAGCTGCAGGCTGGGCACGCAGGTCAGCGCTGGCTTCGGGTCGGCGGAAGTCTCGTGAGCTTGGCGTACGGTGCTGTAACATTCCGTTATAGTGGCTATCAGTAAGCGAAAGCACCATTTTCGCAGGCCAAAATTGCAAAAACGCATGCGACTTTTAAACTAGGTAAGAAGTACCTTGGCACCATAAAGCCGGCATCGCATTGAACAAAGTAACCAGGTGCAGTTATGACGGCATCTTGTCGATATGGCTCGCGGCTCCTAAAAACCGGAAGTAGCAAACAATATTGCGGTTTACAGAAGCTCCACAGGACACGTTCTCTTGGCCATCATTTCCCTCGTGCAGAAGTTGAAGGGCAGCAGCACATATTTCTTCCCACCTAAAACAAACTTTGGTGGGCTAAACGGGGTCGGATCAAGGTCGTCTACTAATGCATGAGTCTCTTGTTAATGACTAAAAACATCGACAAATATGCCAAAATCAGGCATGGAAAGTGGAAGTCTTGGTTGGCGAGAAGGACGAAAATAGAGATGGTTTAGTCCATTGCGGCCAGTAGGTTAGAGTGCAACTCTTGTATCTGCCGCCGGCACCCAACTTTGTGGCTCGGCCTCCTGTTAGTCTACAGGTGTCTAAAGTACACTAGAATGTTAGCCTTGCTCTGCTGAGTATTTTGGTAGACTTTACAACCCGGCATGATCACGGGGAGTCGAGATACGGTAGCTGGGCTAGGCTGGGGGGGGTAAACTGCAGTCCCGCCACTACCTTGATCTTCGTAGGTGACCGGCTTGGTGCAATTGTCCGCTGAAGATTCCTCCTAAAAAATTCAACTGTTTTAGCTACAAAAATGGGTTCTGGACTGTTGGCGGGGGGGGGGGAAGATTTTCAGCGGGGGGACCCATAACAAATTTTAAACCAGTTTTACGTCATTTTATATAGTTTTTACATTATAGTATTCCCGGGGGGGGGACCAAATTTTTTCGGCACAAGCCCAGATTTTTGATATAAATAGTGGAAGTGTTTTTAAATTCTTTATAGCTATTCCTAAGCACATAAACTTTAGAAAATTTAATCAAAAAAATTTAATTTTAGGTCGAAAAATCAATTTTTTCGACCCAAAACTGACGAAATTTTCGACTTTTTCAAATATTTTTCTATTTTTTTGAAAGTTTTACTGCTTTAAATACAGTTAAAACTTACTAACAACAATGTACAAACACTTTATATTTGATGGTTAGGTCAACCGGGACCGCCAGGAAAAAAATTGGTTTCCCCCGGGAATGCTTCCTCCCCCGCGAATCCTTAAGAACCACCATAAAAATCTAGGAATCTATATATAGGAGCCCCCCCCCCCCAGCCGGCACCAATTTTTGTATCTCGGCCGCCCTTTGTGCTAGTGAGCTCTAAAGTATACGAAACGGTTCGCCGTAGGCTAATTTATACTTGCTTTTGTTGTTGTTGTTGAAGTGGTTGTAAACGGTTGGTATAACTGAAAAAACAAAAAGGGGTTTTTCCCTGCTAAAAATCCCCCCTCCCAATAACAGTATAGAGCCCAACAACCTACACAAAAGAAATTTGCAGGATCGCAGTTGACGAGCGGCCCGAGTTTGGTGGTGCTTGCGGCGAACGTGAGGGGTTCGGTGCATAGCGTCGGCTTACAGGCTGGACACTGCAATTTCCATCAAATGTAAAAACTTAGTAAGTTATTGAGATTTCGCATGGCGAACCTTCGGAGAAGAGAGTCAGTCTCCTGTGTTACAGCTAGAGTTAAAACCGAAAATTGAAACCCCCCCCGGGCTACGGTTCACTTTACCCCCCAGTCGGAAGTTTTTGGCTATAACTTTTTTATTTTACATTATTGTAGGCTCAAATTAAAATCCTTAGTATATTTTTCGACGCTCTATCGAATGGCGTTGCAAAAATCCCGACAAAATAAGCGAAAATACCGAAAACTTTGAGACCCTTCGGCTGTGGGGGGGGGGGGTAAAGTAAACTCTTACCGTTTCTGGTTTCGACGGGGGTATCTGTAAACACCCCCCGGGGGTATTTTTTGGGGGGTTTTCCAACTCTAGTTACAGCGATGGCATGAATAAGCTGTTGAACTCGCTACCCAATAACCAGCCGAATAATGACCAAAATTGAACGAATCAGGGCAAAGCTGCAATAAGAAACCTTCTTCTCAAAACCGGATGGGCGATTGTGCGGCAACCCCTTGGCGGCCAGCCATTCGTATGTGTAGCAGATGAGAGCCCTATATTCGCAGTCTTCGCCTTCCGCGAGTCGACGATCCAGACTCCGAGCAGCCAGGGCCCTGAAAGGAAACATATATTTTGTGAACAAATGATAAATCATTAGAAAAGAAAGGTGGAGATAAACCTACGTGGCATCGGACGGGTAGGTGCCGACGAGCAGCACGAAGATGAGGCCGAACTTCAGCATCACAAAATGGGGACAAACGATTCAGGCATAGATAGCCGTCTGTTTATGAAGCGGAAAACGCATGCTAATCGCAGCTTTGGCAATGCAGATTTATAGCTTCTGAATAAATTTCGTATGCTAAAGATCAAAAGCAAGGGTCAAGCTCATGAAAGCCGAAATGCTCTCTCTTTCTCTCGCTCGCTCTCTCTCGCGCTCTCTCTTTCTCACTTACTCTCTTTCTCACTCACTCTCTATTTCTCACTCACTCTCCCTCTCTCTCTATCATTCTCTCCCTCTGAATTTTCTATTTTTTTCTTTGACAGTGCAGAAAAATCTGTATTTACAATATTCATTTATCCACAAAAATATACAGGCATTACATAGCGGAAAGCCGATCGATACAACAATTAAAAATGCAAGTAGCTATTCAAAGTTCCAAAAAATGTAAAAATTAATTAATCCCAAGCGATATGTGGCCAACTGTGGACGCAGCACTACTCACAACGATCTCATCAGAGCGACAAAAGGGTGAAATTCGATGCATTAATGTGGGAATAGAAATTCCGAAATTGCAATTACAATTTAGGGTCGATTGCAGTATACGAAATCTGGTCCAAATTTTCAAAAATATATTATCAATCAATAGGTAAAATCACAATATTTTTGATACGCCTGCGGAATTGCGGAAAGTGACGGAAAGTGGGTAAGTACGAGGAAGGAAGCGGGGCTAGCGAACCGAGTTTTTAGCAATAAAACCTGTACGAAAAAGTGTAAAATACGCAGGAAATACAAAATTTATAATTAATGAACAAAAATACCTTAAAATGCCGAACAAGACGATCGTAACGAGGTAAAAATACGGAAAAATCCTGGAAAATCGTCTCAAATGGCTGAAAAGAAAAATGTACGTCGTTTGCGTTATTTAAACTAGTTAAAAACCCTATAAAGTGAAAAGCCAGAGCTTCATTACGATACAGTACAAATTACAACGTTACAAAAAGGCAAAACGAAGCTCTTCTACCACCAGCGGAAGAAGGGATTCCGCGTCTGAACCTTCTGCTTGTAAGTATCGTGCCATCCCTTGACGCGATTCGGATTTTCCGGGGACTCGACTTCAGAAGCTGTTGGAGCATCCAGAACTGATGTGACGACAGAAGTACCCCTCGACGGTCCGGGTCCCGACGGGAAGATGGCTGTGTCGGCTGAAAAAATATAGAATTGAGAAATTCATGGTGTTTTTCGAAACCTTTGAAAACTAGATGGCTCAACGTACCCTCATCAGCATCAGAATGCACAGTCGGCCTCGGCATCCTCGAGTCCTTCCTCTTCTTTTGCTTCTTCTTCTTCTGCTTTACCTCCACCATGTACTGAGCAGTCATCTGGAGTGAGGTGGAATTTAGCGAGTTCGTTGGAAAAGTTCTTGCTATATTTTTGAGTCCAAAAGTTTTCTCGGGTCGGGATTTTATGAGATCTGTCACCGCAAAGAGTGGATTTTCAAAAAGTTATTTCTTTTCAATTTCAGAGTCAACTCAGGTATAGTCTCAAAGCAACGAAAATGCCCTAAAAAATCCTAGCCAACCTTATCGGCACTTCAAAGCCTTCCAAAAACAAGTTTTTAGCAGTAAAACCCGCAGCCTTACCCTCCCAACCCCCTGAACTACCCCCATAACTTACCATCACCAGCTGATACGGCGTTTTTCCGGTTCGCAGCGCCTCGCGCAGGTTGAAGATCTGGCCCCGCATCACGCTCAGCTGGCGCTCGAACATTTTCTTGTCAAAGCCTTTGTCTTTCTGAAAAAGTGGGCTTGATCAGCTAAAAAAGGATGAGTTTTCTCTCTCCATCTTTCATACTCTCTGTTTCTTTCTCTCTCTCTCTCTCTCTCTCTCTCTCTCTCTCTCTCTCTCTCTCGCACTTTCTCTCTCCATTGCTGACTATCTCCCGGTCACGCTCTCTATCTCTCGATTCTAGAGCGTCTACCTTAAATTGTTGCCTCAATTCTTCTCCAAGCGCTCGGACAAAGTCGATCTCGTCAAGTTTGGGGAGAATGAGGTCAATAATCTCATCAGAAAACGGAAGTCGGGCCTGTGGGAGGAAGGCCCAGCCGAATGGGTCTGAAAATGCAAAAATACTTAAAAGCCTCAGTCTCTCTCTCGCCCTCTCTCTCTCTGTCTCTCTCGCTGTTTTTCTCTCACTCTCTCTTTTTCTCTGTTCTTTCTCTCGCAACTTACAAGCCCTCCACTCGTCCGGATGCTTGAATGGGAAAGCCAAACCGTTGTCGATTGCGGCCAGCTTCACCTAGAGAATTTCCGAGTAAAAAAACTCCGCTAAACTATACCTTTGGTACGGTGACATCGGCCCATTCCACTTCAGCAGGTTGTGGTTGGCTGGGAGTTTGGGCTAAAAATTTATTGATTTTTGCACCAGTTTTCCACCAATTTTTACCATTTTTTAGGGTTTTTAGGGGCCCAATTTTTAATGTGGCTCTCTCTAGCCCCCGCTCTTCTCTCTCTCTCTCTCTCTCTCTCTCTCTCTCTCTATCTTTTTCTATATATCCCTCTCTCTCCATCATCCCAATCATAATATTTACGGATACTGTTCGGCAATGTGCATTTTTTTCCACCCCGAAAACCAGTCCACAATGCTACACGGCGAACACATTGATACCTATTTAGGGGTCGCCAAAATGAGACTACCATCATTTTGCATTCAGCCTCTGCACCTAGCGATAGAATCGATTCGTGTGTGTTTTGGGTTGTGTCTCATTGTTTTTGGGGATTGACACCCGCAAGGCTAGGAAGAACGCCTCAGACCGCATGTTTACCGGAGGGTGGTTCGGTCAAAGGCTAAGCGAAGTTTGTCAGTGATATTGACTTAGCTGGAAACGCTATCGTACCTTAGTTTCAGACTATTTTAAAGAGGCCGGGAAACCAACGTTTTGCGCAAAATCAGCGTGATTTTCGATTTCGATCAAAATGGCTACCTTAACCTGCGAGAAAATTTTGTGCTCTTCCATTAAAAAAGCTAGAATCTCGATGTCAGGAACTTGTCGTACCTTCAGTCAGCGCGCGGAAAATGACATTTTTGAAGGTTGTTGCAAAGGGATATGTTTTGATGCGCCGAGTACCAAACGATACGAGTACGAACAACATTTTCTGTCCAAATATTTTACAAAACAATCGTGTTTTTGTACATTCAGTATTTTTAAGGTCGAAAGAAAGACCGTTTTAACACATTTTTGCCTAAGTTGATCCACCTTTCGATTCAAATTCCGCAAGTCACCTATCAACATGCGAAAGACAGGCTGTCAATATCCGTGTGTTTTAACTTTCGATTTCTCACTTTTTCTCTGTCTTTCTCTCTCTCTTCCTCTCTGCCTCTCTATCTCTCTCCCTCTCTATCTCTCTCTCTTCCTCTCTCTACCTTGCTATCTATTTTTTTGGACCCAGTTATGCACTTTTTGTTTTCCGAGGCCTACAGATGGGGGTGTTCGCCCGCTTGCGGTCTTTTTGACATGCTGTCTGTCTTTCCGGGTCCGGAGAGAGAGAGAGAGCGAGAGAGACAGAGAGAGCGATATAAAGAGAGAGAGGGAGAGAAGGAGAGAGAGCCCGAGATAGAGAGAAAGGAAAACCAAAGTAAGGAAATAAAAAAGTGTGCAAGAGGCGGACAGGAGGAGTAGGAGGCTTGTTTTCGGCTCATCGGCTCGGCAGGGGTCTACAGTATTGCCCTGGGAAGGTTGTTTTTTAGGGGAAAAGGCCTTGAGTTTTTCTGGATTGGCGTTCAGTACTTTTTCGGTGGATTTTTCACTTCTTCTTCGCTTCCAAAATACGCGGAATTCTTAGAATTTTGGTTTGCTTAACGTTTTTGCGATTTTCGCTGTCGTATAAAATTATAATTTTCGCATATTGTAATTAATATCAATCAGGCGAGACGGGCAAGCACACGATCGTCGTTCGGCTCAAACGAGTCGACGCCGGCAGCGAAAATATGGAGCACCATGTGGAGCCCCAGCGAGAAGCCCTTCCCCTACCGCCTCGCCATCACCAACAAACAAATCTTGGTAGGGTATCTTAGTACTTTTCATACTTATTTTCAGTCTTAATTCAGTAAATATCTCTAGGACTGTCTATATCCGTAATTTTCCTTTAATTACCGATTTTTAACTTTTTTCAAGATTTTACGAATTTATTGCGTATTTTTGAAGCTTTTTCGTTACCATAACATTCATGTATACGTTTTTCTGGCTTAGAAAACCTTTAAAACTGGCTTATAACCCTATCAGACGTTTTAAAACCCACCCTCAGCAGGCAATTCCGGAGCTGGTTGACTAGCGCCTTCGCCTCCGATATCGATGAGATTTCCCTCAATCTGCAGCTAAATCAAAACATTACTAAACGAATATTTGTAGAAAAACTAGGAACTTTCGTACATCATCCTCCAAAATCGCTAAATTCAATGATTTTTAGACGAAAACGACGAGCCCGCGCACCGCGAGGACCACCAGGGCCTGGAGCGCCGTGAAATTGTCACCAAGACACATTTGGTGGGTATTTCATGGTAAAATAAAACGTTATTAATGCTGTTTAGTGGCGCCAATTTAATCGAAAATTGTAGCGCATGAAAAATTAGGCAATTTTAAAGTATCTGGAAACAGAAAGCGAAGCTAGTCTAATGATCGGATGGAAAGGGTCTAGAAGCAGGAATCCATTCCACGAAGGGATTTAGCGATGATTAAGATATATAGCAGAAATGTTTAGAAAGAAACGTTTGAACAAAAACGTATTTAAGCGTGACTTAAGTTATCGGGAAAAGTTTCATTGGAAAGCCTAGGTATCCTAATTAATTACTCCGAGGTTCGCCGCGTACAAGAAGCGCCAAACTACGACGACTGGGATATGGGATGCGAGGGTCTTCACCCTGACGACCTTCACAAAGCCACGATATTTGTGTCCGACCCCAAGAAGCATTACGGTATCGAATTTCCGCAATTTCAGGGGATACCGTAGGCCTTGAAATTTGTACGTTATGACGTAACGGTTTGACGCCAATTTAGTTAACAACCCGCCCTCCACGTTTTATGTTCCTTAGCCGTTAAACACTAACCGTCATGTCCCTGTCCTGTTGTGCTCCGTTCGTTTCCGGATCCATCGGCACAACGCCGTCTTCGTTAAGAAGCGATCTCATATCTGGGGTGAAGGCTTCTGCTTGCTCGTACTTGATCAGCCAGTTGTCGTTGCCACGGTCTGAAGGTGAAAAAGTCTCTCATTCTTTCTAGCGTTCTCTTTCTCAAACGTGAACGATACCGTCAGTTTCAAGGGACGCGCAAGGCAAAATTAGCATAGTTTGTCTATTTTCTGATTCTTCCCCATTTGCGCGAAGTTCAACCCCCAAATTTTCACCACTAGATATGTATCTATCGGCTGGCAGATGGCCCCCGGGCGACACTCGCTTCATGCCCCGAAGCTACGCGCCGCATGGCCCGGATTTGGGCATTCGAGCGCGTAAATCCGCAAAGCTTAGGCTGACAAGGGCGCAGGACTACGAATTGTACTCTGTACATCCATTTTGTTCAGGATTTTTGCAGGTTGAACGTTTCTCTCACTCTCGCTCTATCTCTCTCTCGCCGCCTCTCTCTCTCTCCATATCTCTCACCTGTATTCCTGATTATATAATCCAGTACTACCATCTTCTCAAATTGCAGTTGGAATTCGCGCTGGGTAACTGGAGGCGGGGCTTGTTCCGGGAACTAAAAATTAGCATAAATCATTATAATATTTTTTTACTTACCTGCTCCCAAATTTTCAGCCAATGGCAGGCATCTTGGTATCCAGGGACGAACAGTTGGAAGCTGCCCACCTAAAAACTAGTGACATTTTCACTCTCACTATCTTTCTCTCTCTCCCTCTCTCTCTCTCGCTCTCTCTATCTCTCTCTCTCTCTTTCTATCTTGCTTAACATACCTTTGGCGGCAATCCAATCCGATGAAAACGACGTCCAATGTCCGGATACCGCGACCGAATCCTCTCCTTAGTGCGCGCTTTGGCACGATCAAGCTTTCCGTAGTAAAAAGTTGGGGCGGCCAGCTCGACGATGCCGGTCGGGGGAACAATATTCAGACCAAGGCGACGATCCACCAATGAAGCACAGGCTTCGGAGAGGTAGCCCTAAAAAAATGAGAATTTATAGAGAACGTAAATTCCGTAATAAGTTTAGTTTTGTATTCTTAAAGGTTATTTTTAGACCGCGACGCCGTTTTTCACCTAGCAACTGTTAAAATTTTAATTTTAAGCGCTAAAAAATGTTTTTTTTTTGGGCATAGAGCATCTTTTTCGTCCCATTTTTCACATATTCACATGCTAGTCTATATTTGGCTGGTCAGGCTGTAACAATCGGAATGGGTTTTCGACGGCGGAGGGCCGCGCTGGGACCCCGAACATCAAAAATGCACACGCTGGCCCAATTGGGTAGAGGGCCAATTCGGTAGAGAGACAGAGAAAGCGTGAGAGAGAGAGAGAGCGAGAGATAGAGAGAGGGAGAGACAGAGAGAGAAACATAGAGATGTTGTTTTCCTGGGTACTAGAGTCCGGTGGCTTCAGCGTTTAGGGCCCTTTTGGCACCAGAAAAAGGGTATTTCAAGCCCCCGGAAGACCAGAAGACGTGGTAATGGCCTGGGAATGGGTGGAATTGGGTAGGAAGCCAGGGTAGCGTCTCGCATTGAGAATTAGTCGTATTCTAATTTTCGCGCAGTACCCTGGTGCGGATTGTGGTGTTGCGGAGGTGAGAGTTCCTGATTTAAGGTATTACTTACCAGTTGCTACCAGGCGTTTTCGAAGAGTTTAAAGGGTTTTTCAAGACAAAAACTTGAGCCAGACGGCTTTACGACGCTATAACACAAGCATGAAGTACGAAAATTTCCTATTAATGACCTCTCGTACATCTGGCTGCACCGGGAGCACGTAAATTCCAGGAACGCGTCGTTAGTACCAGACGTTACACCTGGATTCCTTGGACTCGTATGACTTCTCGTCAGTCCTAGCCTGGCTTTACTAATGGGCTAAGGCGAACCCTTGAGCACAAGTTCAGTTTTGGCTTGGGTTGGTTTTTTGAGACTGGCACTCATTCTTACTACTGCCTACCACCACCACCTAGCGATTATGCCCCGTAGCCTGGCCTATTATCGGCTTTGCCCCGAAAATTGGTGCAGCCTCCAAGCGGACTAGGGAGGGGAGGAATAAGTCATTATAGGGTGGTGATGAAGCGGCTGCTCGTTTTCAGGTGTGTGCAAACGGAAGCCTTCACGGCCATCCTAAAGAACCATTGCTAGATTGCCTTTAGGAAACGTTCAAGGTTCTTAAGAGCCGCGTAAATTCCGGGAAAGCTCTGTTAGCTGATCGCCATATCTCTCTCCGTCTCTCTCGCACTCAGTCTCTCTTTCGCACTCTTTCTCTCGCTCTCCCTCGTTCTTTCACTCTCTCTCACTCTCTCTTTCCTACCCTCGCTCTGACTCACTCTCTCTCTCTCTTGCTCTCTCTCTCTCTCAGTTTTTCTCTCCTAAACACTTCGAAGACCCAAAGCAAGTGAAACTCCATGACCCCAAAAATCCCAAAATTTCGCCCTGTTTTTCTAGTCATTGGCCCCCACCGGAGTGACCATTCGTGCGTGTGGCTAGCTAGCCATGGTGTGACAGCCGGGTGGATTATGCATTCGGTGGGTTTAATGTGCCCCATTCTACCCTCTAGCCCCCCCAACCCCTAGCGACCCCACTAGCACGTCAGCAATTAGCTGCTGCTGCTTCGACCTCTAGACCCAGAGAGAGAAAGGACGGCTTTTAGCATTCTCTCTAGCCCTGCCATGACAACCGTTGGCAGCTAGCGTTGGGTGGAATTAGTATCATTTCGTAGTAATGAATTTTTATGATTTTTTACGCTCAACGGCTTAAAAATTTGGATATTTCATGAAATTTTCAGAATGTATGATTTTTTGAACTTCGGTGCCCTGTAAATTTGCATAACTGGCCAAAAAAATCGCGTTTTTACATTTTTTTAGATCTACGATATTCCTATTTTTTAGGGGTTTTGATTCGCAGCGTCTGAAATTTGCATAAATCGCTTACAAACGTAATTTTCAAGCTGTTTTTTAGCTAAAACGCTCAAGCCCCTTTTAGTTGTGCTCCTCCCCCTTAACTGGTAGCTTTTGAAAGGCTAGATGGCGCTCGAAAACAACGGCTTTTCCTTTTTTGGGGCTTCTCCTCACTCTCTCTCCCTCTGTCTCTCTCGCGATCTCTCTCTCTCTCTTTCCCTCTCTCTCTCTCTCTCTGCCGTTTATACTATTGTTGTTAGTCCCGAAAATAATCCACCGTTCGCTTGATCCCTCTATTTTTCGCGTGGCAGGTGCGCACAGATGTGGGCGCCTAACTGGCAATTAATCGGCGGTTTTTTTCAGCGGCTATAGTGAGAAAAAATAAACAAAATATCGCAACTGTACTAGGCTGTTATTAAACAGGGTATTAAAAATATCTATCGAAATTGTTTGCGGTTTTTAAGGTAATTACAAAGCAATTAATGTGCTATTTATTGTTTTATTCATGCGATTTTCCACATTTTGTGAGACATTTACCGATTAATGAATCTCCTGTTAATGTCTATGGCATAATAGTAATATATGCGATTTAGATGTTGCCATCCAAAGCCATTTAAAAGATCATCCTGCAAGAAATCAAGACTTTCCATGTTCCATGCCCAATTTTTAACCCCTCCCCAATGGCTTCTTGACCCATAGACCCCGGACAAATGGGCCCCCATTTGTCTTGCCCGGGTTTGGGGGGATGGGTGGCCGGCACGAATTCGTTGCGGGACCTCCGCCTCTCTGCCGGAAGATGGAATTGGGAACGAATCTGGGGCTTATCGAGGACGGGAGAAGCCGACCGGGGAACACAAACGGGGCCCCCCGAAATGGGTGGCTGATTGCCGGAACGGATACTTTGAGTGGGTCGGGGCGGTCAGGCCTTGGAGGAGGGTGAGGATGCAAATGTCTTAATTAAAGGGTTTGTGAAGGCATTGATCGAAAGATCAATGGATTTACAGGTCTAGGAAAATATATACATTACGTAATCGGTTACGACCGCTACTTTAGACTTTACAGACACTTTAAACGCTATTTTAGACACTTCCTCCGGCGCGGATAATCAATCCAAAGCAATCCAAGGCCGCCAGAATCCTATCTCTGCCTTGCCAGGCCCTTAAAAAGATTATCAAGGCAAAATTTAACAAGATATGACGCTTATGACCTAGGCAAACCGGAATATCTATCGTTTCGAACCTTGTAGCACTTCTAATTTACATATCCTTTACTCCAGAAACGCGACAGTCTTATTGTAACAAGATTCCGCTACATGCCCAACAACACAACCTTGTTTACTGCCCTTAGGAACGCTTTTCCTAGCTCCTTCTCGCCCTCCACTGACCGCTACTCATTTTTTCATGGTTGCATGCAATATGATCTCCTTCTCGGGTCGGCAAACATGCCCCCAGGACATGTGTCATGTATCTGACGGCTTAGGGCGTTCAGGCGTGGATCTTCTAGCTTGTTATTAGTGCATTGAAGGGGTGCTCTCATCACGTTTTTGAAAAAACACGGACTTCGACGCCTTCACTTCAAAATTGGCATTTTGAAGGGAGCGGGACACCTAGTTTTAAGGATAAAAAGATCAAGACGATAGCCTATTCCAGCGCCTGCTCTTGTTCAGCCGGTGATCGAAATCTTATCGGCCTATCGAAAAACTGATCCTCAAGCGTATTTCAAAATGAACCGATTACGCCACTTAATTAGCTCGACAGCAAGTTGTAAAGGGGCAGCAAAAATTCGACTACCCTTTTAACCCATTTCCCCGAAACCCCTGCAAAACCCAATCGTTGGCCTGCCCCTCAAAAAACGCCTTGTTTGTTGTCTATCTAGGGGCCGCTGCTGCCCATTTTTCGAGCCCATTTTCGAGGCGGGCGTCCCGGCCGGGATCCCCGGGGAATCCCGCCGGGTTAGAGAGGACGGGGGACATCGCTCTGGACTGCCAGATTCTCCCTTCGACATGACAAACTGGGGTCCCATCATTGCCGGGGCCGGGGACATTGCTTTTGAGGAGTTTTTGCAGGGATTAGAATGTCACTTTTTGGGAGCAAGAGGCTGAAGGTGTCCCTCTCTTGCACACTTTCTTCCTCACTCTCGCTCCGTGTATCTCTCTCGCGCACTCGCTTTCTCTCTCTTTAGGCTATTTCTCTATCACGCTGTCGGTTGGCTGTTCACTCTCACACTTGGTTCGTCACGCTCTCTCGCTCTCTTTTTCTTTCTGTCCCTCGCCCTCTCTCTCTGTCCATCTCCACCCCATGCTCATACTGTCACTACCCCTTTAAAGACATGATTCTGCTGGAGGGTTTCGGTTTCACTCTCTCGCATTCTCTCTCCTTCTCTCTCTCTCTCTCTCTCTCTCTCTCTCTCTCTCTCTCGTGCGCGCCCCAGAGACTACTCGCAACTATACTGCCTCCCCAAAATCCAAAGCGCATCCGCCCCAAAAGTTTGCAGTTGACACGGAGCCTAGTCGATGTAGGGGGAAGAGGGGCGGGTTTTCCAAGAGTGGCCCAAATAGCCGCAGAGGGCACAAAATAGGATGCAGATCCGAAGAGAGGGGGGCCCCAGAAATACTGGGCATTTCGTGTGGAAGTCGAGAGGAGGAGAGGGCGGAGGGCCCCGGAATCGATGGGCCCTAGCGGGCCTCAATTCTGGAGCTAGACAGAGAGAGAGAGAGAGAGAGAGAGAGGGAGAGAGAGAGAGAGAGAACTAGACGCCCCAATAAGGCTCGCTGGTGGCACAAACAATGCCTTCCCTCTCTCTACGTCGACTCTAGCGTCGTCCGACTCTTCAGAATTGCCTCCTGTTTCCTGGAGGCCATTCTTGGACGCCCTGCACGATCCTGGGCCCTCTGTATGGGTCTTCTGGGCTCTCTCTGGGCCCCTTTTCGATTAACACTGACCCCCCGGGGTCCCGCTGGAAATTGCCGAGAAAATTGCCTCGTCCCCGCCACCACCACCACGATCACAACTGGTGCTGTTTTTTTGCGGAATGACTACAGGATGGGAGGGGATTATTTAATTAAATTAATTTCGTCCATTTTTTGTATGAAAATCTATTATTAAGGTGTCTACAGTAGATCGGACACTTTCTGCTGTTTTTCAGGGACTTTTTGCCTATTTAAGGTCGAAAGTGGTACTGTACGTTTCAGTACTTCTTACGCTACGCGGTAATTGTTCAAAACATTAATATTTTTAATATTGGGTTACAGTAACTCCTAAGTCTTCTCTAGTGTGCGGAAAATTACGGTACATTTGTATAAATTACGGAAATTGTACATATTTAGCAATTAAAGCTAGGACACCCTAGAAATGAAAAATTTCTGTATGCAAAATATGCTAATTACATTTTTCTAGTTTTCCTAAATGAAATGGTGTTGGAAAGCCTATCCGGGCATTATCTGCCAGATTTGCATACAGCTTTTGATTTCCAAACGGTTATACCTAAATTAAATAAACTAGTTCGTTTTGAAACTTCAAAATTCAATTATTTGAATCGGTAAATTTTGAAAGAGATCAAGATATTTCTGCCACCTTAAGCTGTTCCTGCTAGTCGCTAATTAGTGAAAAAGTTTTTTAAGTTTTCCAACGGTTAAAA